GATGACCCAGCTCACTTAATGCTAATTTATGCCTATATTCACCACTCCAATACAGGTAGTCCTCAATATACAACAGTTCACTTAGTGACTGTTTGAAGTTACAATTGCACTGAAGAAAGTGACTTATGGCCATTTTTTATGCTTATGACTGTTGCAGCATCCCCATGGTCATGTGATTTATATTAGGATGCTTGAGAACTGACTCACATTTGTGACCATTGCAGTGTATCAGAGTGATCACCTTTTGCAAACTGCTGATAAGCAAAGTCAATGGGGAAATCAAATTCACTTAACAACCAATTGTTACTGGGTTACTAATTTAACAATTGCAGTGATTCACTTAACAAATGTGGGAAGAAATTTGTAAAATGGGACAAAACTCACTTAACACATTTCTCACTTAGCAACATAAAGCCACAAATTCCTCTTTATTTTTAAATATGTTCACATCTGTAAACAAGATTACATAATTCCAGGTCCATGACACCTGTGCCATAAATATATGGGTTTATTTTTCTATATTAAACAGTTACTGTTAGATTCCCTCAGAATCTCTCTAGTAATACAAAGGGGAGGATGCACTCTGCTGCCTTTGGCTCTTCAGGCAAGAGGAAAAAAATAAAATATGTATCTGTACACCATGGACATTCAGATATTTCTTCCTCTCCCACCTCTCCCTATGCAAAGCATATATTTATTCTTTCAGCACTCCTGCTCATAGTAACCTTGTGAATATCTTTATCCTGGTAATTTTTATGCTTCCCTGCAGTGTTATTTTGCCCACTGGGGATGGGCAGGAAGCGGAAAACACTTGACTGTGCAGATCACATTTGGAGGCTGCCACATTGCTCATTTCTAATTGGGGCAATAAAAAAAGCATCTCTTCCACTAGACTTGTTTGAGCAGGACCTGTCAAAGGTTGGCAACCTATCCTCATCAAATAAGTCTACATGCCAAATAAATGACTTCAACCCACTTGTATCTGGGCCCAGGAAATAGCATTTGCTGTCCTCCATTCTTCCCAATCCCGGAGTTCAGAATAGCATGTCTCCCAGCAGCAGCTAAACAGCTAAACTTGACCTCATCCAGTTGTTGAACCAGCACAGAGAAATTGTCAATGCCTTCAACTTCAAGGGCATTCTGTTAATATTTGAGCTAATTCAATTTCTGTGAAATCTTGGAAAATTCTTGTATACTGGTTATAGGACGGAGATCAAGAGGTACTTCCCTGAGTCTCTCCCAAAGAATTCTCTCCAAAACGGATCCATTCCTTTAAGGACAAATCAGGGGCAGTTTTTTTCACACTAAATGGATTTTATCAAGAGGCTTCTTCACAAAGCCATTTATTCCTGCTTTTTGTCTTTTTCTTCCTGTTTTATTTTCGCAAAGCCTTCTGGGAAGAAATGGACTATATCTTACATGTTCGGGAAGGAAATGTTTGGTAGGTGCTTTGCTGGAGGTTATTAAACTAGTAAACAAATTCTGGTACTTTTCCATATCCACCATTCCATCATAGGCTGAAATCTATTTGAGCAAATCTATTTGCCTTCTATCTCATTTTGGGTTGGTTTCTTTCAGACATGTCTATTCACACAAATATATTGCATGAAACTGCTCATTATTTCAATCCCATAACATTGTGACACATTGTTTATTGTTTCATATGGTCATTCATAGTTAGCATATTCAGACAAAGGATAATAAAATAATTCTTTCTAAACTAATGGGTTTACTTGGAGATGATAAAGCTATGATGTAACACCAAAGTTATTTGAAAGATTGACATCTAGAATGTGCTCCCTACAAAGATTTCCAGTTTTATCTTATTATTATTAAAATTATTATTATATCTGGACTACTTTTTTTTTTCAGGACTGAGAAGCCTTTTTGAAGGAATGCTGACTGCCTAGAAGCTATGTACACATTTTAAGTTGAAAGATTTTTCTTTGAAAGTTCCATAAACTAGTTCTATTTAGGCTGGTGAATGAAGATTAGATAAGTACTTAACGTAAAAGGCATTGGATAACATATTTGGAACCAACTTGCAGTTTTTTTCATCTAAACTAAAAAGATTAGCAAATTTTGAATATTATATCTGGAAGGAGCCAGATAGTCACTAAGCCCAAACCTTTGCATAGCATAAGAAACCAAACTGAACCATCTCTTTCCACTCTTTACTTGAACATGTCTAGTAAATGGGAACACACTACCCTATCAATAATCAATCACAACTGTGCAGACCTTCAAACGAGTAGTGCCATTTTGAAGCTTTGAATGAAGCACTCTCTAAGATCTGCTTCATGAAGCAATGTGCTTGCCTAAGAGCAAAGCAATCAAGTTGCTTCAACTTGCTCTGCTTCACAGCTTCTCCGGCACCAAAGATTTAGCAAGTACTGTCAGAACAATCAATATTCAGTCTCCCACAAAAGTTTAGGTGGCCAATGAAGGCAACATTGCTAGCCAAAGCTTGTGATGAGTGTGGCAGAAAAAAAATAAGCAGTGAGCTACTAGTGTTGAGCAGAAGAGGGGAACATTTTTTCCTCTGCATTCTCTAAAGATTTTCTGTTTTCTGAAAAAATTCACTTTAATAAAGTTACAATGAATACAAGACCCATGTCGATTTTCTCATATCCCATTCAATACTCCAATTTCATGAAAAATCATTAATGAATACCATCTTAATACAGATTTTAAGTTAGCTATTTGCCAATTTAATTGTCAGGGCATCCAGCCCACACTTCCATAGCTTGCTAAGGAAAATGCCATTGGGTATTTTCTCAAGTAGAGTATAGAACAATAGGGTTAGAAGGGTCCTTGGAGGTCTTCTAGTAACGTTCAACCTGCTGCTCAAGCAGAAGGCCCTATACAATTGCAGACAAATGGTTGTCCAATCTCTTCTTGAAAACATCCAGTGAAGAAGTACCCACAAGTTCTGGATGCAAGCGGTTCCACTGATTAATTGTTCTCATTGTCAAGAAATTTTTCCTTAATTCTAGATTGGATATCTTTTTAAAAAGTAATGTTTTTATCAAAGTTAAGTTATATGTCCAATATACTTAGGAAGTTACCCAAACAAAAAATGAGTTATGTTTTGTCTGACAAGATTCTTAACAAATCCGTGCTACCCTGGCAATTACATCTTTCTCAAGGCGCTTAGATGTATTCTCAAATAGAATCACCATAGGAACTGATATCAGAATGACTGGTCTATAAATCTTTGGATTCTCTCCACCTCACCATCGCTTTTTTGAAAATAAAGATAATATTTGTGTTTTTTCTATCATCTGGTACTTTACCTGGTTTCCAGGATTTCTCAGAGATAATGTGCATTGACTTGTCCAGGTTCCTTTAGTATCCTAGGACATAATTCACCTAATTCCTTAATTGTGTTTCTGTTACTGGCTTCAATCCTATCATGTTATCTCTCCCCTACCCCAAGTGCCTAATAGAACAGGTAACTGCTCTTCCAAGAGAATGAGTCAAGATAAGAATTGCATGTAATTATTTTTCTGTTAATTTTGCTACCTATTAGCATTCTGTTATCTGCGCTTTACAGCCAGTTGTCTGGTGGCTGATAAATACGTACCACAGCACTGCTTTTATTTCTCCCATTATTTTTTTGTATATATTATTTTCAAGGTTGCCAAGTTTATTCATTGGTTCTTGATAAAATTCAGAGTAACTTCACTTTAAATATACAAATTTTACTGAGTGAAAAGTGATCTTGTCTTCCTAACTCATGATAATCACTATAATGCCATCACATCAGTATGGAATGAGTCTTAAGTACAAAGTGAGAAGTACTTAATGTTACCAGACTTGTTTCTAGATTTGCAGCAACATGCTGTCATTCTGGAATGCCTAGAGTTTCATTTCCTACTATATTACCCTATGTTCAACTAAAAGGGCTGTAAAATTAAATTGCTTTCTATTAATTAGTTTTGATAATTCACTTCTGCTTATCCCATTGATCACAATTTGTATCATGAAAGTTTTCAGAAGAATGTTTGCAATTCTGCAACTGGTTTAATTTTATTTCCTAAGAAGATTTCCTGGACGATGTGCTGAACCAGGATCTATTAAAGGGACTTAGTTGCCTAAGGGATAAAATAAATATGATTGATCCTTTGGAAAAAAATTAAAATGGTTAACAAGCAGTCATTCCTGGCAGTAAAATTAAAATAATGATGAGGACAATAATTTACACTGCTAAACGTTTTGGTCTTCTTTCACTTAAAAATAAAAATGGATTCATTCTTTCAAATGATAAGGAGAATCTGAGATGCAATCTCCTATTTTATGTCATTTGTTGTTTTATCACAACCAACCTTATTTTGGTCTTGCTGACTTCTACTATTTGGACAACCTGAGACAAAGGATTTATGGCAATTGATTACACAAATAAGAGGCAGAGAATAAAAGGATCATTTTTCAATATATTATGTTGTGATGGAATTAAATATGCATCTTTTGAACTAGTTCTTTTTGACACCTCCCCCATGTAGATTCTTAAAATTTATTGAAAGCAGTAATTTAAAATCAATCTCTATGCCTTGGGCCAGATGTCCATATTTGCCTTAAATCTAATGATTTTCATTTACAGCCCAATTGCACTGGAATGGTGTATAAATTTTATAAATAAATAGACTGTACAAATATATATAAAAGGGACCAGTCAATTTTTAAAAAGATATTAATGAAAGGATTCTTTCTGCCCAGTGTTGTTATAGGTCAGATTGTTTCCACTTGTGGTTTACCTGTATGAGAACAGAAATTAAATAATATGAAAGCTCATGGCAGTTAATAATAAAGTGTTAATAAAGTGATCAATTTTCAGGAACCATCGCACCTCCTAAATTATACATGTCCCCTTGTGTGCCCCTAGCCCAAGTGATGACTAAATGATTAAAAAATGTCTGGAAAGGACATGGAAATATGTCCAACTGACAGAAGAAGAAAAAATAGCAACACAAGACAAAGTACAATTATCTGTAACCCAACAATGTACTTAAATTTATTACATCACAAGAGGACAATCCAGTAAAATACACAAAATTCATACTAATCCACGTTGCCAATGTACAATTTTTATAGGGTTCTTTCTTTATATTACTTTTAAAAAGTAGGGTACTGCATTCCCCATACAATAGCTGAGACGTACTGCTGTCATTTTGACAGTTTAGAGAGATCTAATTAACACTTTTAAAACTAACTTCATAGATCTTTTGGCACTTAAAAACACAGACAAAGAAATCAATTCCATATAATCAATTGAAACACAACACAGCGTAAACTATCTAATGCCAGCAAGCAAATAAAGTGTCTATTACTTCTTCTAAATCTTCTAATCCAAATACATATTGAGGGAAAACAGCCAATATTATTCCACTGTGGTTGATTCTTGTTCAATTTGGAAATTGTGTATACATTTTTGGAATTATTTCACAAAATGTTGATGGCTTTTATTGTTATTATTTTTGGTCCTATCAAATATATTACTTTGCTAACAGAAGACAATGGATTGTACAGATTGTACCTTTTTTGATACTATCTTAATATTATATTTTTCATTTCCTATTTAGGAGTATACATTCTTTAGTAGCCTTTCAACTAAGATCTGCCTATTCTGGCTAAATTATACTCTGCAACAGAGGCAGTAGCTTTTCAGGTAAGATATGCCATGCATAAGAATAAATCATTAAGGAAAGGATGCCTTGTGCCAAAGTCTTATTCAAAGTAAAGAATGTTGATGCATTTCTTTTTGCAAACTTTTGGTCTCCATAGATTAGGGTGCATTTCTGTGTTATAAATTCCAGCTGCTTCCATATTCTGCTCAAAATAACAAACCCTACACTCTCCGTTGCAGCTTTTCACTCCCCTGCCAGCTGTTGAACTCTATTATTTCAATCACTTTTTGGCAAAGTAACTAGTGATTGTTTTATTTTACACTGATTGCAGGCTCCATGTATTACCGTTTACTCTGAAAGACAACCATTGTATCAGTTATTTCCCTCCTGCCTAAAATTATCCTGAGGAAATCTGAGCAAACTATTGTGGCTTTCAAAAGACTACAAAGAATAAGGATTCTTAGATTCTTAAAACTTCTGAAATGTGAATGCATGAAGCATGATAAGAAAACAAACATTTGTCCTTAGTAGAAGAGATCCCAATATTTTGCTATTTCAAAAGCAAATGTACTAAACCATTGCTCCAGATAAATATGGCTACAGTCTACTTATTCCAAATTTAAGATTTCTGCTAGGATTTCAAGATCTCATTGGAACATGAAGAGCTATCCCTCCTATTCTTCCCTTTTACAGCCCTTCTGAAAATTATCTCACCCTTCTCCATGGCTCCATTGAGGGTTAGGCTCTCCTATTACTGTTGCAATACCAACTAAAAGAAAAGAGATCCAGGAAAAGAAGCTAAATGCAGTTGTGCAAAAGGCATTTACAGTGCTGAAGTACAACTTTCTTAGATGTCTCCTTCTGTTAACATTCTCCTTTCCAAATGCTCTTTTGTAAAGACTTGATGATAAGTGTTGGGAACTAAATGAAACAGCTTTTGTATCATGGTTCTCTCGTGTGGTAAGTGCAACATGCACTATATTAGTATCAATAACTCCCCATGTCGTAACTAGCAATCTAGCAGCGGCTGGAGACAAGGTTGATGGAAAGACTTCTACATGCTGACAGTCAGAAGTTGTTTCAGGCAATTGCCATATGTTTACATCTGGAAGGGGGGAAATTCCTTTACAATTTGCAAATTTGCAGCCATCTCAATATATGAAGGAGTCAGTTGCAAACAGCGGGTAACAATACCTGAATATCACATTCTTGGATTAAGTAAAATACATCTGTGTAAATACTTTTTAAATGGATTGTCATGATCAGGTAAGGCAGTGTTTCGGTGCATTCTTTGCCATTCTGCTTTGCAACTAGAAGCCAAAAAACTGAATCCTCTGCAATGGCAAATAAAAAGCTCATCACCACAGGAAATTATCTTCTCATCCTTTCTTTGCTTGAGGATGCATACAAGATGCTCTGGGTGTTGAGATATAGAGGGTCTAGTTCACAGGTTGAAGGACAAGGAAGTATGTGCCAAGTAATTGGATAATTCCCTCTGTTGTTCATTATGAGTTTCATAAAATGTCCTTTCATTTTGTTATTCTAAACCAGGGCTGTCAAACTCCTGGCCCATGGGCCGGATACATCATGTGCTAGCCACGCCTATGCCTGGTTTAGTGAAGGGGGGGAAAGTCCTGATACACCACATGACACAGCTGTGATGCTGTGACTTTGACAACTCTGGTCTAAACAAATCTATAAAGAATATATTCCCCAATTTTACCATGTATGAGTGATTGTGTTAGATCCCCAACATAGGATAAATGTAATTGAGTGCCAATCAATCATATACAGAATACAAAATACATTGCTATTACCATTGCATTAATGTGTGCATAAAAACCTCTGTGCATAAGGCCCAAGCTACAACAGTTATCACAGTGTGTGTGTGTTGTGTGTGTCTCTCTGTGTGTGTCTGTGTGTGCATGTGTGCTTGGCAATGGTATCAAGCAAATCACAACAGTGACAAATACAGCTTTCATTGTCATGAGAGAAGGCTATTAACTGAGCAATCCTGGGCACAAATGATCATAGAATGTATTGCTCCTACTATGTATATATATACAGACCATTTCAACACCTGTTTCTTTAATTCTGTGGCAAACAGTTTGAATTCCTTTCACATCTGGCCATTGTGCAAAGCTTATCAACTATATTCTTTTTTTTTTTTTAATCCCTGTGTTTAGGTTTGGAATTTTTTTTCCATTTTTTTTACCAACTGTAAAAAAAATCCATAGTAAAAATAACTCATATATGATACATATACCCAGAATGGTCAGATTTTATATAATAAAAGATGAAAATAGTCCCTTTTCATAATAAAAATAACTTTTTTTTGCTTATTTTACAATATACTTAATATTCTCTTCTTCACTTAAAAGTAAATAGGTCCTGTGTTTGAAGCAGATTTGATACAAAGGGCAAAGAGGCTGATCATAAGCTTATAAACACTTTGCACAGCCACACTCCACATGTCTCTCTAGCTCTTCTGTAAAGGAAGAGCCATCCACACACTGGAAGCCGTATTTCCGCCTTTTGCTGCGGAGAACAACACAACACTGATTGTTCCCACAAGTGCCGTGACATTCCACACGAGGTACCTTCACCATGGAGACACAAGAGATGGAATCTTGTTGCTTCCGAATGAATTCACGAATAATCTCTCCTTGACAGACATTTTCTGTGAAAACAAAAGCATTAAGATCATCTTTTATCATCATTTTGATAAACAAAAATCTGAAGATCAAGAACATGACTTCAAGCCGGGGTTTCCGGTTTGTCGGCTTCGCGAGCGGTAGGGATTCGCGAAGCTGCGCGATCCCTGCCGCGCTAGCCGTTTTGGGGCTCCGACCCGGACGGGTGCGGAGCAAGGCTGCCCTGCAGGGGTAGCTGAAGGTAAGGGGGATCCGGAGGAAGGGTTTGGGGGTGTTGCAGACCCCCTCCCTGGCCGGCAGAACCCCCTTTTACCAGGACGGTGCAGCGGCGGTCCGTAATGGCCGCCACAAAGAAGTTGACAGCCGGGCAAGTATGCGCAGGAGGAAGAAGAGAAAGTTATTGAAAGTGAAAGTTCTTCTTGGTTGACCCAGGGCTTTGAGATTTATCTAATTTAATTCCTGGAAAAGATGGTTTTTTGATGATTTTTTCCACAAGAGAAAAAAAAAAAGCGGCTATTTTGAGGTGCTGAAGGGAAAGTTTACTCTCCCTCCCGACGGAATTAAGCCGGAAGGGAGAGGATAAAGAAAATATATAAATTTGGATCTTGTTGGAGGAGATGCCTTGAAGACTTGAGGACAGAAATATAATTTTAACAAGGCTTTAAAATATAGATTTGGACTCTTTTTTTTTTATTTGTTTGATACCACCCCTGGAAGAGGAAGGGGGAATTTTGGCTTGCTTGGATTTATTGAGGATTGTGGATTTTGGGATTGTTTTGCCTTTCTCTCGGAATATTTGGTTGGTGTAAGAAGGAAGAGGAATAAAGAAAAGAAAAGATTTATTTATAATGGCTTTCCTTTTTGAAGACCTGAGGGATGAATATGAGCAAACAAAAGCAGCCTGCAAAGATGGCATGGAAAAAGCTTTTCTATTTCTAGAAATGGCGCTGGTCAATTACCAACAGACAATGGAACAGATGGAAACGGAAGAAGAACAACAAGGAAGAGACGAAGACGCCATCTTCATTGAATCCCAAAACTTATCTAAGGAAGAAGGAAGGAAGAGAGCAAGGAAAATGAAGGACTTAAGATTTAAAAAAACATTTGAGAAAGAGAAAAATATGATGCAAAATAAATATAATGATAATAAACAAGAGAAAAAGGGAACACAACAGAGAAGGGATCCCAGCAAGGCAGAGGTTAGAAGAAGAAGGGGGGGTAGGAAGATTTGGTGGGGGAAGAAAGAAAGGGGAAAGGCGGAGAAAAGCCTCAAAGCTTTAAAATTGGATGGGAGAAAAGGGATTTTTTTTAGAGACAAAGGATGAAATATAAATCTCTGTAAGAAAGATTCTGCTAAGGTACAGAAGATGGTATTGTAACATTTATATTTGAAATAGTAAATTAGAATGGTTTAAGATTTAATAAGAAATTAAAATGTTGAAGTTTAAAATTGAAATGTTGAAGTTTTTAATATTGATTGATTTAATAACGATTGATTTTTGAAATGTAATAAAATATCGAAGGAAAGGAGGATACAATGTATTTAAACATTTTTGGTGGATAGAATGTACCAAGCAGAACCAAATTGGGTATTTGTTATGTTGAATGTTAATTTTACTAACTTAGGAGGAGGATAGAAAGGCATCATACTCTGATTAGTGATTTCAGGAGAAATTCTTTTTATTATAAGAAGAGATAGAGGGATAATGAATGGGCAAAAGATACAAATTTAATGATTTAATTAAGATGGATTAAATAAGATAGAATTGTGAAGAGTGATATGCGCTATTATTTTAGCCCATGCAAAGAGAGGTAACTGGGGCCAAGGTACTTTACTAAAAGATTTTTTTATGTTTGTTTGTGTTTGTTTGTGTTTTATGAGAATATTGGGGAAATTATTGTAGAAAGACAGGGAAAGATTTAATATGTAATGATTTGTTTGTTGTTGAAACTTTTAATAAAACTTGTTTTAAAAAAAAAAAAAAAGAACATGACTTCAAGCCACACGATTTAAAAATATTTGCAGAAGAACCTGCTATAAATGACCTTTTCCTTTTAAATTAGTATTAAAGAGTTACAATGTAATATTGGTGAATAATATATATTTAAGTTTGTAGAATTGTAGCATGACATCTATTTTTATAGATAATCAGGAAGAATTCTTCTGCCTGCCTGCCTGCCTGCCTTATCTATCTATCTATCTATCTATCTATCTATCTATCTATCTATCTA